TATAATATTATATTATTAATCTTAAATTTCTTAAATTTTAATTTCGTTTATTATTATTCAATCATTAATTAGGAAAAATTAAAGTTAAAATTTTTAAATAGCAAATCTCTGTTTGTATGTTTCGTTATATTTTTTTTAACTTTGGGACTTAATTTCAAAAGTTTGCAAACTTAAAGGTTATAAGAAAAAGTTCTCTTTGATTCTTTTGCCAGGAGGCATGCTAATGTGGACTTTTGTTTGCAAAGTTGAATGCAAACTAACTTACCAAACTGAAAGAGTTTCACTTCTTTCAATTTTGATTGTGTTTTTAATTTGTATTTTAGTATTGTAGGTACTAAAATTATTATATTATTATTAATTAGTGAAAATAAAGAAAATATTTTATTAATTTTAATGTATAAATTTCACTTTTAACATATAATTAAACATAAAAAATACTTTTTTACTAACTAAATATGAATTTAAAAGGTTGTAAAATAATTTGGATGGACTTAAAATTTCTAGACAAAATCAGTGGGGTCTTGGATTTTGGCTTGTATACCCAAAATCAATGAAACCCTTTATCTTCATTCTCCATAAAAAAAAAAAAAAAGAAGTCAAAGCGTCAAACCCTTTATCCCTTTCTTTTTTTACACGTTTTAACTTCACAAATTAATCATAACGAATAATAATAATTATTATTATTAAAAAATAAAAAAATAAAACCCTTACAAGTTACGACTTTGGCATATAATCATTACTGATATTTGAGTTCCATTTTCTGCTACCTTTTTTTCCTTCTAGCGTCCATATAACTGAGTGATAGAATCCTCATTTATTGAACCTGATCCAGTCTTGCTTCCTGAAGAATCAACCATAAAAGGATTCCTTCCTGTGAAAAACCCAGGCTGCTTTGGCTCAGGCAATGCACTATCACCTCTCAACATTAGAACCACAGATAACATGTCTGGCCTATCTTCTGGTCTTTGCTGCACGCATAACAGTCCAACATGAATGCATCTCAGAACTTCTGATGGTGCAGTAAAATCACCAAGGACATTCTCA